TAAAGATGAAGTCTTTCAAACCATTTTCAAGCTTTTTAATAACAAGGTCTGTAGACCTACCATTATTACCTATAAAATGATTAAATATCTGGACCAATGCTGCATTACTGCTTTTACTGCACTTTTTAACTGTTGCTTATTCCAAAACACAATACCCAAGCTATAGAAACATGGCAGAATATATTCTATCTCCCAAAACAATGCTTTTGATAGAAACTTTAACCTTACTTAACCAATCAGCCTTATTAAACATATTAGAAAAATATACACTAAAATCTTAACAAACAGACTTAATCAAGTCTTTTCTTAATATTCTATCCTTTTACCTTTCAATTATATTGCTCTACCATGCAATAGTATATCTATCCCTATCTATATCCTTAATAATCTTATTGAAGATGCTAACTGTAATCATAAAGAGCTTTGGCTACTATTGCAAGATATGAGCAAGGCTTATGATTCAGTTAACTTTAATCTCTTTAGACAATCTCTCAGCCATCTCTCTTTACTTCAAACTATCATAAATATTTTTACTGATTTACTCATCAACCACTATAATGAAGTTATAACCAACTTTAAACTAACTTCTTTATATCAAGTTTAAAATAGCATTGACCAAGAGAAGACCATTATCTTTTTGTTCTGGCATATATATTATAACCTACTTATTATATATATATACTCTACCTTTACTGGCTACACAACTTCAATATCATGGCCAACCAATTTCAAAAACTACTCATTCGAAACTAACTACTCTATCTTGGCCTATATAGATAACACTTTGTAGATTGCATTAAGTTAAACAGAGCTAACAAACATTCTTACTATTGCTAAATCTTTCTACAATATGACAAATATTCAAGTAAACTTATTCAAATTTATTCTATCCTCTAACACCAAACCTAATCTATATAATCCTATTATATTTAACAATGTGGCACTTCTCCTCTGGCCTATACACCAGCCTTTTAAATTCTTATACTGCTGGTTCACACTTAACAACAAACACACTAAACAATTTTAACTTATTCTAACTGAATCATCTCAATTTACCAAAATTGCTAATACCAAACAAATAACTGATACTTAAGCTTATTATATTATTCCTTAAATTATAACACAGGCAAATTTGCCTGTGTTTTTATTAAAAAGTTTAATTTTTTTAATAAAAACTTATATAAAGGGATAAATATTGTTATTATTTCTACTTTAGAATATAAAATATATAATATCGTTTTTAATCAATCTATATACAACAAAATTTTTCAACAACATATTAACCTCAAAGCTAAGCTTTGTCATACTATACCTACAAGTATCTTATTACATCCTTATATATACAATATTAAAAATATTTGGGATATTCAACTCCAATACCATATTCCGAACTTTATTAAACGGCTTAATAATAAATTTCTTTTAGGCATCTCTATCCAAATTAGAATTTAACAACTTCAAAATAACCTCTGGTCTGCTAGCATTCTTACTTATCCAAATCCTATTATCAATGGCCCCAACCATCTTACTACTAATTTTAAAATAATACAGCTTCTTTGATATCTAAACTAAACTATTAGTTCAAGTTCAGATACAAACATTCTTTTCATAATTTATGAAGGATCTATTATATTAAAATCTATATTATTAGCATACCCCAAATACCCTACCTTCAAAAAACAACTTTGGCATTACTATATTCTTTTTTTAGATCAACTTACTTCTATTCACAACTCCCAACTTCTAGACTAGAAACATATATTTCAAAGACTTAACAAAATTCCTAAAGAGAAAATTTTCCATTGGTTTACATTTTTTGAAAATTCTATTTTTAATTTCCCACACAACTGCCTTATTTCTAGGCAGCTTAACCTCTTATCTACTAACTACTATAGCTACTGTACAGGTTATTTTCACAAACACTCCAAGCCCTGGCTCTTATCTTTTTACTATAACCAAGCTATTATTGGCAAAGCCTGCCACCAATCTACAAACTCTGGTTTTATACTAATTACACATTGGCAATGCAATCTCTCAACTACCTCCTCTTTAATATACTCTATTTTTAATATTATTTCAAGCCTATACTCTATTTATATTAGCCCTATATTATATTATATTAAAAAAAAATAATTCTTAATACCCGTACTCTAACCCTAAAAATAATTAGGGATGATGATGATTACCACTAGTTATTTTAAGTATATTAAGTTATAAAAATTTATTTTAAATTTAATTATAAATTTTTTTTTAGTATTAAATTAAGTTTGTTTTTAAATTATATTGCTTTAAATTTTTAAAAAATTGTATTTATTTTATAAGTTTAATTTTTTATATAGTATTTTAACTTTTTTTAAAACACACCTATAGTGTTTTATACTTATGTATATATTATCTCAAAAACTAGCTAATTAATCAGTACAAAATATTCTAAGTAAAAATTCTCTATGTTCCTGAAAACCTTTCCCAAACCCTAACCTTAACCTTAAATACTAACACTTATATGAAAATTTTTATATTTTTTTTTTTTTTTTTCTTTGATAACCTCGTACTAATTTTATTATAACGTTTACCAAAACAATTACAATAAGACTTATTAGACTAATACCCAGCTACTATATTTCAAGTGCCCAAGTATGGTTATCGCACTGGTATAAGCCAATAGATTCTACATGAAGTACTACCTCTATTTAAAAACCTACTATAGCTCGGTACTTAGCTACTACATTAGGATCAATTGCTTCCCTCCTAATTCTTTCTTTTTCTCAAAGGACACAAGACAAAAGGGGGATATATATAAAAAAAACAAAACAAAAATGACTGAAAAAAATAAAAAAACAAACACAAAACAAGAAAAAATAAAACACATATTTCAAAAAAGAAAAAACATTAAAAAAAACAAAATATGAAAATATTCTAACGATAATATAGCCAAAAAGGCCTAAAAAATTATATAATACTCTTTAATTTAGTCCTACTCTAAATTCAGTCCGCATTATATGTAAATTCATCAGGGTAGGTTAGCCTTGCGAAAATTTTCTAAAACCAACCCCTTTACTTTGCATCAATGCCAGTCATTGTTCCACACGGCGGCAACTCGTGATTTCTCGTGACTCTTGTTTACCTTCTAATTTGTAAACTACCTGTTACTATAATTAGAAGTTCCTTGACCAGAGCCCAGAAAGTAAACAATGCAGATCTTTTCGAAGGGGTTTGCCAATTCTCCCACTTTTTACTTATCGAAAATATTCCCAAAAAAAATCCAAGGAAAGTGAGAATATGGTAGAGGTTGTTGAAGCTATGACCTTTAAAATTTTTTAATAAGTGTACTGAAAGACTCATTTGTTGTTCTCTTATTGTTGCCTAGAGGTACTTTGTTAACAAAAACTGCCTTGCATTTTTACCAAAATTTCTTATACAAGGGCCCTACTCTTTGCCAGTTATCTTGTATAAAGACGCTTTTGGCTTGTATGCCAAATATATAAAAAAGTCCTTCCTAGAGCTGTAGAGTTGATCTTTATAAAAACCGATCTCTAGTTGTATAACTCTGCTTGTCTCCAACAATTTTTTGTCTTTCGTTAGTCAGAAAATTTGGTGCAAGTGATCATCAGGAAGAGTTTTTAAAATTTTTATATTCAAAACTTAGAAAAATCTAGAAAATATAATAAAATATATAATAGATACAAAACTACTATAAGTACATTTTATAATAAATGAGTATTTATTAGTTAAAATTTTAAATTTAAATTATTTTTTATATATTAGCTTAATTTTAAAGAAAAACTAGATTTTAAATAGCTATTTTATATTTATAATTTTTATTAATAATTTAAATAAATTTATTTAATAAAAAAATTTTTATAACTATAAATAAGCTATAAAATAGCTAGTAAACACTGTATAAAATTAGTCTAAACTAAAAGTTTCTAGTCTAAAAAAAATTTTATAAAATTTAAAAATTTGATTTTTTTTTACAAATAGCCCAAAAGCTAAATTATTATTTAAAAATATTTAATAAAGTAGTTAATTTTAAAAATTAGTAAATAATTTAGTTTAATTGTGTACTAAATTTAGTACAAAGTACTAAATCTAGTACAGGTAAATCCAATCTATTAATAATAGATTGTTTTTAAAAAAATGCGCCTATAAAGAAAATATGCTTATATAGAAGGTAACTATAGAGATTTGACTATATTTCTAATATAAATTAGTAAATTTTTATTATTACTAATAATAAATAATTTTTTAATATTTTTTCTAAATTTATTTATTATAATTTACTGTATCTTTTTTTTGTAATACAAAATTAAAGAAATATTATATTCATAACACTGTGTTATTATAACACCTTATATAGTTTAAGTTTGAGTTAGATTAAAGTTAGGGTGTAGCTTTAAGATACAGTATATAGGTGTTTTTTATATAATATAATATATATATATATATTAAATATAAGGTTCTGATTTCAGTTCTTGTAAGGTTTTCATGGATCCTGAACATTTTATTTAAGATACCTGATCCCGTTTACTTATTATGTTTTTGAAATATAGTATAGAGTTAGTATAGGGTGTTATATAACACAGTGTTATAAATATAACTTTCCAAAATTAAATACTACTATAATTCATATTTTCAAACACTGCATTATCAAATAAATTTTTATTCAAATATATATTTTATTTAAAAAAAAGTAGATTTCTAGGCAAATTTGTCTAAAAAGCCTACAGATTAAGAAATACAAATATTTCATATATATTACATTATCACAAAATTTATATTTTATATACTGTATTATTCTCTGGGCATATTCTATATACCGGAAATAATGCACAGAAGCAAAAATTACAACAAATTAAACTTAATTCGGCCAATCTCAAAAATAACGCCCATGGTCGTTATTCCGCAGTCTTACAGTATAAAATACGGGATATGCGGTGAATTATACTGAGTATATATTTTGTATAATTCATTTAAATTCTGTTAAATTCTGCATTACTTTTTTATAGGGCACATAGCAATCTTGCAACTGCAACCATGAATCCCTGAATGTGATTCACATCATCCAAATTTGCAAGTGTCCCTGGACTGAAAAATAAACCAGATTTTCAAAACCACTCAATAATGTATATCAATTTATGGCATGAACTTGGAATATATTTACAAAACTTATATTTAGCATAGCTTGCCAGAAGTTATAATATCGTACAATTAGCCTTTCTAAAAAAAATGTTAAAAAGAATTCATTTTAAGACTTCTTGCTTCTGATTTTTTGTCGCCAGTCACCTTTAATAGGTTCGAAATTAGGATTGTTAGCAGCTTCGCCAGATTCAATCTGTTCTCTGATCCAAGCTTCAGGATTAATAGAGGAAGATCCGTGTTGTTGTCTTGTGACCTCTTCCCAATCAGTATTTGCAAGGAAATCTTCCGCAGCTTTCCATTTTTCAACAAGTGTCGCCTAGATTATTGATATTTATTAACTCATGGTAGCATACAAATATTATAAAGAAGGATTGAAATAATATACCATCTTTTTATTCTTAAAACCGGAAGTTACAAGATCTTTATCTTTCTTTCTCTTTTTTTCGTGTGAATGAGATACACTTGGTAAACTTGATGTTTGAGAACGAGGGGGAGAACTGGTCCCGTCATCTGAGGATTCTGGTTTTGTATCGATAACTTCATTCCAACTTTCAACCTTCGGTAATGGAGGTGGAGGTGGTAAAGGCGGAGGCGGCGGTGTAATTTGTGATTGAAATAACGACTGTAAAAATGAATTATTTTGCGTTTTCGAAACGTTCGTAGGTTGCAAAGCAGTAGTACTGTGCTGTGATGATTGCATTAAATTTATCATGGGCGAAGAATCTGATCCCGCTGTAGAACAATCTTGGTTATTTACAACCAACGAATGAGTGTTAAGACTCGCAATCAATTCAGGACTTGGATACGTAAGGGAAACTTGATTCTACCAAAATTATAAGGCATAGTATTACTTAATGTTATAAATGACATGTTACATAACTAGCATGAATTATAAAATGTACAAAATACACAAAATCATACCGACTGAATGTGCATCCAGGTATATGTCTTTGAATCAGATTTCCATTTGCATAACCAGCCAGTAGGTGATATCTGCTCTGTTGTATTAAATTTTTTTCAATAAATTCGATAGAATTTTTACAAATTTTGCTTTGAATTAAACGATAATTTATATTCTATAACTAAGATACAAACATACCTTCAATGCTTCGTATCAACATTTCCAATCCTTCCAAAATAACCTTTTCAAAATAATAAGAATTCAACGCACCAACTTGCCAATCATGTAGTCTGGTGGCGAATTCAATTTGATGCCTTTCAAGCCTCAAGTGTGTTGCCATAGGTGTAATGATAGACAAACGGTCGTAGGCATCTCTTGAACGAATATGTAATGGTGAATCTGATGAAGGAGGACGCATGGATGTAACATTGTCGATATCATCAATGGTATTCATTTGATTAAAGTGAATATCAACTTCTCGATTGGAGTCTTCTTTAGGTGATGAACCCAAATTATTTGCTTCTTCATCTGAACGTGACATTAAAGAAGCTCCCAAAACATTAGTTTGTGTATCAAGATCCCAACATGTTTCACCAGTTCTGCTATTGAAATAATAGTAACGCTTTTCCTCTTGATGAAAATGCCGTTGCCAATCACCTTCTGAATGTGAGAGTTGTGAAACAATTTGATCTTTTTCCGTTGGTACAATATTTTTAGAAGATTTTTCACTGGTTTTTTCCAAAGTAGGATTTTTATCGATAGAAGTAATAGGTAACGCATTGATTTCGGACAAAAAGTTTTTTAATGCCGCTTCAATGCTTTCCTCAGATTGATCCATCTCGATCGAATGTTCAGAATTAAACTGAGAAGTTGTTGGCAGGTGGGAATCTGATGAAGGTTTCTGAATGTCTGATTGATTATTTGAAGAGCTGAAAGAATCTGGTTGTGATTGCCCCTTTGATGGATTCTCTTTTTAAAAATATTAATTAGTCACTTCCTGTTCATAAATATCGAAAGAAAAACTATACACCAACCAACTCGCAATTTTGGTCTATCGCAAACTATGCATCATGCCTGTTGTTAATATAGGTACTATATAACACTCGTAAGAGCTGCTTCGCCTACCGATCTGTGCCTCTTCTTCATCTTTCTCGTCATCGCTTTCACTATAGTCTCCGAGGAGCTCCTGCAGCACGTTTTTCGATTCTTGGCGTTTTTTAGCTTCATCGGTAGCTGAAAAGTAGTAGCACTAAAAGTTAGTTAAGGTTATCATAACAAAAAATTGAAATTGATAAAAATATAAAAACCTTTATTTTTAGCTCTTATTGATGACATTGGTTGGTCTAGCTGAAGCATTGGCCGTCTTCTTGAAATGTCTCGTCGGTCCATGGTGCAAGGAACATGAATTTCGACTGCGAGCTAAGCAAACCAATCTTCCCATACACTATATTGAAATGAAAATTTTAAGCCCAGTTCAGATTTGCAACAGTATTGTTTGAAACTTGGACGTTTTTATACCCGATTCAGCAATGCTGACAGACATACGAGCACATTGTTTTGATTCTCGTACAAACTTACTGCATAAATTTTGATTACTTTATTGATGCAAAATCATAATCATAACAGAACTGTGATATTTAGAATTAGGGTATCAATGTAAGATTAGGGATGCGAAACATCGGGGACTATCCCAGAAAACTTTAGCTTACCAAAACTTGTGTTAAAACTCGATTAATAAGTGCCTCATATTCCTTGTTCATTGAAAACTTTTACCCACCTGATAGCATTAGATAGCAAAGCGAAGACGCAAGAGATCTTTATCTTGCGCTGAAAAATATGTATTTGCTGTTTCTAACGCTAATGATTTTATATAGATATTAAAATGCGAACTACGTTACACGTGCAATACATCATGCTATCTTTGGAAAATTCACCATAATCTCGCGAACACCATTCTGTTACATAAAGAATAACGATAAGACTAAATAAAATTAGTGTTGGAATCCGGATATCCGGATTAACATCCGGATCCCAACAGTAAATAAAATGGACACCGATATCACGATAAGCTCAGCAGCGGATCACGGGTTTTAATTACGAACATTCGTAATTATTATGAAGTCAAGAATGGTCTTATCATTACTGTATCTACCTGATGCCGACACTCCAGTATCTGAAAACTTTTTCCCAATCGGATAACATCCGGATTTACATTGTAAGTTATCGTTATGTCGATATGTTATCGCTAATCTAATTCATGCCAAGGACAAAAAGAAACTGTTTAGGCTGTGCGGATCATAGCAGAGAAGTAATAATTGTGAAAATCGGTGTACTGTATACAGTAGAATATAGAGATGCTACTTTTTACAAATTTATTATTTGCTTTTTTGTATATACAGTATATTGTACAGTCAACCTTCTATGTAATCTCACGTTTTTTTTTACTTATAAATTTTTTAAAAATGTGTTTATAAAGAGGTTGTGCTTATACAGTGTAGAGGTAGTAGTTTGTCCTTAAGTACAGAATGTGATAAAGAGAGGCTTTATATAATGTGATTATAGAGGAGGTAATTGTATAGAGGTATAACTGTACGTAGTATGTTTTTTTTAAAATAAAATAACATTGTTATACAGTATACTGTATGCAATATTACTATAATCTTTTTTTTTTTTTTTTTAAAACTTAGGCAGTTTTACCAATACTTTATTAAGATTCAAAGTATATAACAAAAAAAAATATATACCCATTGTTACAATGCTATAGCCTTCTTATTATAAATATAGAAAAGTAACAAGGTCACCCGGTGCAGTAATATACTTTATGAATATACATGGGGTAGATGTGAAGTATATACTTTAACTTCACAGCAGGAGGAAAATAGTTCAAGATAATATCAGTTTATAGATAATAATATTTATTTATAATAAATTTATGATGATAACCTTGCTTGTAGGAATTGCCCTAGAGGGGAATATTACATTTTACAAGTAGAGAGAGGTAAAGGGGTAGGGCTAGATTCTATGAGAGGGTAGTAAACTCTAACTTGGGTAGAAGAGGCAAAGGCTTTCTTTTTATAACTTTTCTACAGATAGAAGTGTAATGGTATAATTGCTATACTATGTAGAGGTACTTAGAGGCACTTTGTGTAGAGGCACTCAGAGTTACTTTGTGTAGAGATACTTGGAGGCACTTTGTATAGAAGCACTTGAAAGCACTTTGTGTAAAGGCACTTGGAAGCACTTTGTGTAGAGACACTTGGAGGCACTTTGTATAGAGGTACTCAGAGGCACTTTGTGTAGAGGTACTCGAAGACATTTTGTATAGAGGTACTCAGAGGCACTTTGTGTAGAGACACTTGGAGGCACTTTGTGTAGAGGCACTCAGAGGCACTTTGTGCAGAGGCACTTAAAGGCACTTGTATCACATACTATTTTACTTAGCTGCAGTATTACTGTGCCATATTATTTTACTTAATGAAGTCTCTTCTATACTAAATATAATTAACTATAACTAATAATATAATAATAATATAATAATAACTATAATGCTATGAT